AACAAAACAAGAAAAATAAATTTTTAAAAAGTATGCTTTGATCTGCATTCAGTACTCCATCAGTTCTTTCTCTGGAGGCAGATATCATTTTTCACCATAAGTTCTTCAGAATTGTCTCGGATCGTTCTATTGCTGAGAATAGCTAAGTCATTCACACTTAATCATCGTATGATATTGCTGCATAACCAGGAATACTTGCACCTGGAATGAACTCATCTGTGGGAAGGAGGTGATGACACAGAGAACAGTACATAGTGATGCAGTTGTTCTGGGAGAGAGGATAGACTATCTCCCACAGAGATCCTCTTATGTCTCAAAGCCCAGGCTCCTCAACCCTAGGAGAAAGCAGAGGGAAGGCAGCCTGAAACAGGAATAACACAATTATGAGATCTGTAGGTGGTGGATTGGGTCTGGAGACTGTAGAGCAAGTGAAGAAGGCTAGATGAATAATTCCCTTGCTTATATTAGTTTATTGTTATGTTCATGTTAGTTTCCCCTAGGAAAAAGACCCTGTTGCTCTGCCCTAGTTATAGATTCTGCCAAGTAGGAGAATATTGAAATAGTCTAAGCAAAAGATGATAAGGGTCTGAACCAAGATGGTAGTTGTATGAGAGGAGGGAAGAGGATAGATGTGAGATGTCATGCAGATAGAAATGACAAGACTTAGCAATCAGTCAGATATGGGAATGATGGAGAGGGAGAAGTCTAAGATGATTCCCCTTAATAAAAGGATTTGTTCTGTGAAGTTTGTATTCAGTCAAAGGGCCATACTTGGGGACCTAGAGAGTCACATGTGGCCTCTAGGATGTAGGTTCCCCACCCCTGCTCTAAGGTTACGAACCTGTGTAGTTTGAAGGGTAGCAGTGCCTTCAATAGAAATAAGGAAGTTCACAGGAGGGTCAGGTTTAGAGAGGAAGGTTAATAGGTTTTGTTTTAGATTTGTTGAGTTGGGGGAACCTAGGAGATATCGAAGAGGAAGTCGATGTTTAACTGGCTTTCAGGAGAACTCCAGCTATGGAAAGAGGTTAGGCCTACATATTAGGATTTGGGAATCATAGGATCATGGAGCTAAAGGATGCTGTCTCTGTCTCTGACCCTCCTTAGACTTTGAGCTCCATGATGGAAGAAACCGTATTTTTGCCTTCCTTTGTATCCCTAGCACTTAGCACAGTGCCTCGTACAGAGTAGGGGCTTAACAAATGCTTGTTGAATGGCTAATATGGAAACATGTTTCCAATGACTTCACATGTAAAATTGATATCAAATTGCTTGTCTTCCCAAGGAGGGGAAAGGGTGGGAGGGGAGGAGATACTTTGTGACTCAAAATTTTTAAATTGTTAAAATTTTTTACATGTAATTGGAAAATATTTGAAGAAATAAATAAGAAAGAAAGAAAATGCAGCAGCAACAACAACAACCCCCCCCCAAGTGTTTGTTGATTGATTGACAGAAATAAGCAGTTAATGATCCAACCATTCTGGAGATCAGTTAGGAATTATGCCCAATGGGCTACTAACCTATGCATTCCCTTTGATCCATCCAGCAATTCCACTACTAGGTCTGTATCCCAAAGAGACCATGAAAGAGGAAAACAACCCACATGTACAAAAATATTTCTAGCAGCTCTTTTTGTGGAGGCAAAGAATTGGAAAGTCAGGGAATGCCCATCAATTGGGAAATGGCTGTACAAGTTGTAGTGTATGAATATAATGAAATATTATTGTTCTATAAGAAATGATGAGCAGGTAGACTTCAGAAAAACCTGGAAAGACTGACATGGACTGATGCTGAGTGAAGGGAGCAGAACCAGGAGAACACTGTACACAGTAACAGCAACATTGTGCGATGATCAACCATGATAGACTTAGCTCTTCTCAGCAATGCAAGGATCTAAGACAATTCCAAGGGAGCTGTGATAGAAAATGCTGACCATATCCAGAGAAACAACTATGGAATCTGAAAGCAGATTGAAGCATACTGTTTTTCACTTTTTTGTTTGTTTGTTCTTTCTCGTATTTTTTCCCTTTTGTTCTGGATCTTCTTTCACATGACTAATGTGGAAATATGTTTACCATGTTTGTATGTATAACTTATATCAGATTGCTTGCTGTCTTGGGAAGGGAGGAGGGAAGGGAAAGAGGGAGAAAAATTTGGAGCTCAAAATCTTACAAAGATGAATATTGAAAACTATCTTTACATGTAGTTGGAAAAAAATAAAATACTACTAAGTTAAAAAAAAAGAAATAAGCAGTTAAGTGACACAGTGGGGAATCACTATAAGTGTAGCACTCTTTCCCCTGCACCCCGCTGTCTCCTTTTAATCATGTGCATAGAATTGATACTTGAAGGCATGAGAGTTGATGCAATGTCCAGAACAATGTGTATAGAGGGCCTGACTGGTAAACACCCAAAATAAGAGGACAAGGCATAGATGACTGATAATCCCCCAAAGGGAACTGAGGGGTGGTCAAGTCAAACAGGAGGGGAGAGAAGCAGGAGAAGGCAATATCATGAAAAACCTGAGAGGAGAGAGTATTTAGAAACAAAGGGCAGACATCCAGATCCCAAGCTGCAGTGAAGTCAGGATGGATGAAAATTGAGACCAGGTCATCAGATTAAACATTTTAGAGGTCATTGGTAACCTTGACGGGAAGAGTTTCAGTTGAATTGTGAGGTTGGTAGCCAGATTGCAAGAGGTTGAGGAATAAGTAAGTGATGAGGAATCGGACAAAGAGAGACGGTTATTCTAAGTCGTTGGGCAGTAAAGGGAGAGAGTTGTAGGGAATACATATGGAGAAGGTGAGGGTGATGTGCCTTTGACATAGCTGATATGCTTAATAAATGCTTGTCAATTTTATTGCAATTATTGGTTGTATGATTGGGTGTGAGATTGTACATCTGCAGTTGTATGTGATTCTGAGTGTGGGATTCTGTCCCTCTTTGTTTATGGGTGTGACTGTGATTGGGTGTATTATGTGTGTCTGGGTACAATTGTCGTATGTGACTGATAGGAATGTGTTCTGGCTCTGGAGGACTGGGTGTGATTGTACGTAATTATGTACCAGTATCATAATGAGCTCCTGTAAGTTCCCTGCTCTGCGTCCCCAGCACAGGAGGTTTGGAGATGTAGACCTAAAACACTTCCAGATCTGTGACCTCACTGATCCACCATTCCAGAGATGTCAAATCCCCAGCCTGGCCTGTACTCCAGAGTGTGCTTTAACCAGTTTAAAATGTAATTAAGGAATATTTACTAACATAAATAAAAATACAATTAAATATAAATAACATTATATTTTAAAACTAGTTACTATGTTGCCCTTACAGATTAGTGGCCCCCTTTTCTATTCGAGTTTGACACCACTGCTCTTATCCAATCCTTTCATTTTATGAGTGGGGAAACTGAGGCCCTGAGCCAGGCACGGTTTTCCAGGGAGAGAAGAGTCTTTGACTCAGGGTTCTTGCCCCTAGCCTGGGCTCTTGGCTTTTGGGTTCATGCCTGGTTCCTCTGTACATGCAGGGAGGTGCTGCTGTGTTTGGGGTGAGGGGGTCAGAGGGGTCATTGCAGGGTCAGGACCAGGGATGGGACTTTCTGGGACAAACCCCACCCTGGGGCAGGAAGGGTGGTAGGGCAGGGGGTGAAGGGTCAACTTCCCCTTCTGCTCCCACTCCCCCCCCCAGCCTGGCCACACCTGCTGATCCCTCTGCGTGGCCCCTCAATGTAATCAGAACCACCCGGCCTGGTTGTGTACTGATAGCAGGGCATCCAGACTTAACCGTCCAGCTCCTCAGGCCCAGCTGAGAGACCAGATAAAGAAGCAAGGGTTAGGAGTGGGTAGGTGTTGCCCCACCCCCTCTCTCCCTAGGGCAACAAAGAGACTGTACCTGCTTTGAGCTTCCGTCCTTGAGGGGTCCCCCCTTCCCCACAATATGCATGAACACACAGTCACAGACATGGGCCAGGTGGAGTAGGAGCCCTGAATCACCCACTGGGGCAAAATGATCTAGGAAGGCTCCCTGAAGGAGGTGGGCTTTCATTGGCAACTTTTGTGAAAGTGTGGGCCATATAGAAATAGGGACACAGAGAAAAGGCCCAGTCCTGTCCTCTGGAAGCCCACAGCCCAAGAGGGCTAAGGCTAAGGCCCCCAGACCTATAACACAATCATCCTAGGGTCCAGGAGCCCTGTACCCCACCCCTCCCCCAGCTCTGATAAGGTCCAGGACTTGGAAGGAAAGGCCTAACTCTGATCTCTCCTAACTTCCACTGCCTTCTTCTAAGCCATTCACTCCTGGGGGGCACATGGAAGCTAATAGGTCAAGCCTTTGTGGCAGCAGAATGGGACAAGACTTTTGTTATATTCCTTTGGGCCTTCCCCCAAGCTCCCTACCCAAGCCTCCTTCTTGTCCCAGCATGGTTCTAATCTCTGGCCCTGGAAGGGTCCATCACAGGAAATCCTCGATCTAAGAAATCTTGGGCGCAAGAGATGAAGGACGCTGGATTCTGCATCTGTGGGAGTCCTCTGTCTTGTTCTGAAGTGTGTATGTGGGACGGCTGGGCTTTTGGAGCCTGGGCCTTAAGGACCCTGGATCTGGAGATCTGGGGGAATCTATGGCATCAGGTATGGTTCTGGGTCTAGATTCTTGATCTAGAACTTGACCTGGGGGTTGAGGGTCTTGGGTTCTAGATGAGTGTGGGGCCATCCCCGGACAAGGCAGAAACCTGGAGCGGAGCAAGTCTTGATATGGGTTTAGATCTTACAGTTGTGTGTTTGTGTGGGTGGGTAGGTAGGTGGGGGTCCTTGGTCTGGGTCTAGGTTTGGTCTCTGGGCAGTGGACAGAGCAGAGAGTGGCAGGGGAGGAGTTCAAGAGGGTGGGTGAAAGCCATAAGCCCCAGGAACAGATATGTTTGTCTCCAGAAATAGTGACCCTGGGGCTGCCCCCCCCACCCCTTATCAGTTTCTACCCTCAGCCAATCAGCTGCAGGCTGAGGGGCTGAGCTGTAGGGATCCCAAAGCCCTCAGAACCTATATCCAGATGGAGCTAGATGTGAGAAGGGCTCAAGGCTGAGCTTTGGGGGACAGAAATTTGGCCGCTGCAATGGCCTCCCTGGCAGAGCTTTCCTTACCGTCCATCAGCAACCTGGCCAGCCTGGGGCTGGGGCCCCTGCAGGACACACAGACCAGGAGCCACAAGGTGGAAGGGAGTGTAGTACAAGGGGACAGGGTGGAGGACAGCTAGCGGGATCTTAGGTAGGGCTGCTCTGGGAGCTTGTGAATCTGTTTTGGGTTTGGTCTGGTCTGGGAGCCTGGTAGGGGGCCTGATAAAGAAAGCATGGGACCATGGTGAAACTGAGGCCCTGAGTTAGGTGGGGTGTGGTTCACAGAGTCAGAGAGAGGGGAGCCAAAAAAGCCCACCCCCCCTTTTGGAGGGGAGGGTCCTTAAATGGGGACAGTATGAATGGGCAAATATGCTTATACAAGGCTCTACCTCTCCTGGCACCTGCATGCAGGGGAAGGGAGGAGGAAGGAGGGAAAAAGCCCTAAGGTCCCAAAGGGGAAACAGAGCTTGGGACTTCCCGCCGGCTTGAGCTCCATGTGTCCTCAGCTCCCCATCCCCCTTACCATCTCAATATGTGGGTCTAGATAACAGTCTTATCTGCTGCCTCCAGTCCCATGGCCCAGGAATGCTCTCCACAGGTCAGTGGTTGGGGTGCAAAGGGGGATGGGCAATAGAGACAAAATGAAATTCTACCTCTCAGGACCCCTAGGCCTGACCCGCTTTTCTAGACTGGAGAGCAGGCAGATTGACAAGACCCCCAGACCTCTCTTCTGAGTAGGGATGGGGTACCCTGACACTGCCTCCTCTTCTTTCTCCCTGGCAGTGGTGGCAAATAGATGAGGCTCAGGACGTGGAGCTCCAAGGTGCCAGTCACTGGCCCTACCAGGTGAAACAGGAACATCGGGACCCAGGACCCTGGCCTGAGCAAGTTGAAGGGGACAGAGGGGCAGAGGGGGATGACCCCTGCTGGGACCTGGATTTCTTCCTCACCAACTTCCCTGGGCCAGGTCCCGGACCAGGGCCAGGACCAGGGTCAGGGCCAGGGTCTGAGCTCTGCCTAGCTCATCCCTGTGGCCTGTTCCCTGAGGGCCCTGGCCTTGTGGCTGAGCTCCATGATCCTAAAGAGCAACCCAACTGGGGCTGCTCAGCGCCTCGGCCCATGGCCACTGAGGCAGTGCCCTTTGGAACAAACCCTCTGCCCCCAGGCCCTAGCCCTGGTTTCAAAGTCCAGACGGGGCTACCCCAATTCTCAGCCGCCTGTGTCAGGGATGGAGGGGGAAGCTTCCCTCAGCCCAGGGCTGGATATACAGGGCCCGCAGCTCCAGTGATGACCCCCTATGGGTTGTTGGGGACATACTCTGCCTTCTACCCAGCCCCTCACTACCAAGCCCGGTTTCAGCTGTATCGTAGAGAGCCTGGACCAAGCTCCAGCCCTGGGCCAGGGCCCCTGGCTTTCCTGGGTCCCCCAGCACCCCCTGAGCCAGGGGATGAGGCCTCTAGGCCTAAGCGGAGTCGTCGACCTTGGGCCCGGAAGCGCCAGGCAGCCCACACCTGTGGACATCCAGGCTGTGGAAAGACTTACACCAAGAGTTCTCACCTCAAAGCCCATCTAAGAACCCACACGGGTAAGAGCCCCATCAGCTGAGGGAGGAGGACCTCTACATCCAGAGTCATTGATAATCCTTTAGGAAGCTCTGATGGGGGAGTGGAGGTTCATGATTATGCTCTTGAGTTCCCTTTACTTGAGGCATTATTGGAGGGGCTTTGCATCAAGGGTGGGTCACAGATAATCCCTGGGAAGTTAATGGGAGTTAATGTTTGTTCCCTTGGGGTCACTGGTTCTCCCTGAGGGTCCATGAACCTTGGTGGTCACTGATACACTTGCAGGGAGGGGGGTGATGTCTCTATGTCCAGCAGGCCATTAGCATTTTCCATGAGTACCTAAGCAGAAGGCTTATGGGTACTCTAAGACTGGAAGGTGGAAGGAACCAGGTATGTAGGCAGATTATCAAGGTCCCCAGACCTTTCTTCTGGGTATGGATGGGGTATATCTCCTTGGCAATGGTAGCAGATAGATGTAGTTTTAAGGGAGGTTTTTGGGTTCCCCCATCCTCCCCCCCCCCTGCCCACTAAGGGTAGATCTGCCTCCTTCCTGCTCCAGGGGAGAAGCCTTATGCTTGCACCTGGGAGGACTGTGGCTGGAAGTTTGCCCGCTCTGATGAGCTGACCCGGCACTACCGGAAGCATACTGGGCAGCGCCCTTTCCAGTGCCAGTTATGTTCACGTGCCTTCTCCCGTTCTGACCACCTCGCCTTGCACATGAAGCGCCACCTGTGAGGCCCGACGGGCTAAGCCTGGCCTCCAAGAATGGGATGGAGCCCCAGGCAGAGCCTGGAATGAGCCATAGAGGGAGGCGATCAAATGCAAAGGCCTTGGACAGAGCCACGTTCCTGATCATGGAAGAAGCCAAAGACAGAGGGAGTCACATGCGGAAGAACTCGGGCCCAGGGCACCTGGGAACAGAAGCACAAAATGGTACATAGATGGAGATCTTGAACCCAGCGCAGGGGCTGCTGTGTCCTTTGGTGGACCAGCCAATGCCTGAGCAGGACCACCCTCAGCTCCAGGGACTGGACCCATGGGGAGTGTTGTCTGTCCCTGGGGCCTCCATGCTTCTGCCCTCACTCCCTTCTCCAGATTCCCATTGTGGCTTAGCAGAAGGGATCACCTGTAGTCACAGGCTTCCCACCAACCCTCTAGCTGTCCTCTTCTGTGATCACCAGACCGTTGCTGTGAATGGTTAATGCTCCCCAGCCCACCCTCACCCCTAACCCCAGCCTGCTCTTTGACATGTGCATTTTCCTCACCAGCCCAGGCCCATGGTATGGACAGTCCTGGGCAGGGCTCCCCAGAATCTGTTTTGTAAAGATGCCTGTTTCCCCTGCTGTTCTTGTATAAAGTTTTGGTGATTCTGATTGGCTTGACTTCGTTGGGGAGAGGGGACCAAAGAGTGAGGAAACAGCTGGGGACAAGGGAGTCCTGACTCTGACCCCAACATATGCCCAGCCCATCAGGAAGAGTACTCAGTGCAGGTACAGGAAATTCCAGCTCTAGTATCTGCCTCACTGTCCCAGGTAAGACAGTTCAGACCCTAGACCAAGATGTCCCAGCCTCAATTTGTGCCTGACTCAACAAACATTTATTTTTATTTATTTTTATTTTTATTTTATTGAGTGCTGGTCACTCGACAAACAGTTATTAATCACCTTCTGTTTGCAGAAAGCATTACACTAGGGTAGTAGTTACAAAGTCCAACCAAGGAAGGGGCAGTGCTGCCTGCCAACGGTGAAGCTCACAGCTAGTAGGGGGATAAGACATATAGCCATATAATGGATCATACACATCATATGGTAAGTAGATCCTAGGATCCTGACTCAGTCAGTCAACAAGCATTTATTAAGTGCCTACTATGTGGCAGGCTAAGTGCTAAGGATTGTTGTTGTCTGTCCTTCATTCTTTTTTTTTTCTTTTTTTGCCTTTTGGTGAGGCAGTTGGGGTTAAGTGACTTGCCCAGGGTCACACAGTTAGTAAGTATCATGTGTCTGAGGCCGAATTTGAACTCAGGTCCTCCTGACTCCAAGGCCAGAGCTCTATTCACTTCGCCACCTAGCTGCCCCTCTGTCCTTCATTCTTGAAGAGGACCATGGATACAAAGAGAGGCAAAAATGGCCTCTGCCCTTAAGAAGCTCAGATTCTGGGGCAGCTAGGTGGTACAATGGATAAAGCACCAGCCCTGGAGTCAAGAGGACCTGAGTTCAAATCTGGCCTCAGACACTTGACACTTACTAGCTGTGTGATCCTGGGCCAGTCACTTAACTCTATTGCCTAGCAAAACAAAACAAAAAACAAAAAAACAAGAAGCTCAGATTCAAATGAGGGAGACAACATGCAAAAGAGCTATCTGTATAGATTGGGTAAATTGAAGGTGATAGTGGGAAAGCTCCAATAGCTTGGGGGGGAACCAAGAAATATCTCTCACAGTAAGTGGGATTTGATCTGCAACTTGAAGGAAGCCAGGGAAGTTAGGACCCAGAGGTGATGAGAGAACATGCCAAGCATGCGGAACAGCTAAGAAGGCAGAGTGTCTCATCAAAGGAATAGCAAGGAGTCTGGTATAGCTGGCTCATGGCATACATGGAGGGGAATAAAGTGTAAGAAGCCTGGTAAGCTAGGAAAGGAAGGGGCCAGGCTGTGGAGGGCTTTACAAACCAAGCAGAAGGTTTTTATGTTTGATCTAGGAGGCAATAGGGAGTCACTAGTTTATTGTTGGGTGGGGGGCTGGGGAGACACAGTCAGACTTTAGGCTTTAGGAAAGAGTACTTTGGCAGCTGAGCTGGGGATGGATGAGAGGGGGGGGGAGAGATGAGGCAGGGACATCACAAATGTCCAGTCAGTTGGAAAGGATGTTAAAGGTCACCTAGTCCAACCTAAGGAGGCCCAGATAAGGTAAGTGATTTGCCCAAAGTCATACAGAATAAAGAGTATAGTAAAAAAAAGAAAGTGCTCAAGAAAAGGCCATTATTCTTATTTGGTTTTTTTTTGGCTAGGCAATGAGGTTAAGTGACTTGCCCAGGGTCACACCGCTAGTAAGTGCTATGTATCTGAGACCAGATTTGAACTCAGGTCCTCCTGAATCCAGGGCCACTGCTCTATCCGCTTCACCACCCAGCTGCCCCTGTGAGAGGGCCATTATTAACAGAAGTCCACTGTCTGTAGCTTGTTTGTACACAGCTGTTCACATGTTTTCTCCCCCATTAAACTGTGAGTTCCTTGAAAGCAGGAACTATCTTTTCCCCTTTTTTTTTTGTATCCCCAGCCCTTAGCACAGCGCCTGACACATAAAAAGTGCTTAATAAATGTTTATTGAGTGACAGAGGGGATTAGGGAAGGTGGTCACTCCAAATGTCCTTATTCATGTGACTTAGGCTGATGTGGGTCATTCTGCAAATGAAGGACAGACTCCAGGGATGGGTGATGGGTGGGCTCATTTCAAGTTCATTAGTGGGAAAGGCCACTAGTGACAGATGAAAAGTTGAGAGCCTAGCTGAGTGTTAATAGGATAGGAACTATGTGCTTTTTCATTTTATCCAAGGCATTGTCTTGGCATAAATTATAGTGCTGACTTCAAGACTTCATACTTTGTGATGATTTTGTGTGTTCAGCAGTTTTATTACTTCCTTAAAAGTATCCTCAGCTGAGGAAGAGTGGTGTATATAGGAGAGACAGCATTGTATTTGATAGAGTGCAAGGACCTGGGTTCAAATACCAGCTCTAAAACTTAGCCACCTGTGTAACCGTGTGCAAGTCATGTTACTTCTCTAGACTTGTTTCCTCATCTATAAAATGAGATAAAATGACCTCTAAAGGCTCCTTTCAGCTCAAAAAATCTATGGCCCTATGAGGTTGTCACTTGCACAAATCACGTAGTTAGTAAGTAGCAGAGACATATCTTATGTCTCAGGCCTTTGACTCCAAATTCAAGGGATCTCCCTATTACCTTACACTGGGGAATAATTTGAGATAAAGCATCAAAGATAGAAATCAGATGGTGCCTGGCCTAAAATACCAAGCATGGAGTTTTAACTATACTAGGCAGCTAGATGGTGCAGTGAGCACTGGGCTTGAAATCAGAAAGACTCAGCTTTGTGAGTTCAAATCCGGCCTCAGACACTTAATAGTTGTGTGTGGGCAAGTCACTTAACCCTGTCTGGGGCAGTTCCTCATCTGTAAAACGAGCTAGAGCAGAAAATTGCGAACTACTACAATATCTTTGCCAGGAAAACCCCAAATGGAGTCACGAAGGCTCAGACAGGGTAGGCAGGTAGGCAATAGAGAACCACGGGCAGAGTGTAAATCGCAACTAGGGGACCCCTGAGGAGAGAGGTGAGGAAGGGATAATTAAACTCGCTCCTGCCTTCACAAAGTCCCAACCATCTACTCTTGCGGACTGAGAAGATACATCGCGAGATTTTCCTATCTATCTTAGTGCCTCGAAGGGTGATAAATGCCTAGCCTCCAAGCCTTAGCAGGTCTGCCCAAAGACCAACTTTCCACCCCGCCCCTAAGAGGTTTCAGGAGGCGCTCCCTGGTCCCAGAATCTCAACCCCGGAAGCGCAGAAACGTTCTCTAGCTGGATTCTGCAGGTGGGCCAGCAGGGAGTGGTAATTCCATTTTACAGACTGAAAAAAGAAAGTGCAGAGAGACCAAGTAGAGAGTGTGATAGTCGAGCTATCACTAGCGAGTGGGGGAGGAGTCTGGCTGGAAAATCCAGTGGGCGGGTCGTGGGCGGGCCAGTACAGTGGGGGCGGGAAGGGAGAGGGGGGTTGAGAGCTGTCCCCGGAAAGATGAAACTTCTCCAATTTCTGCCTCCACCGGTTTAAGGTGCTCCTGGGCCCGGGGAACTGGGGTCTGCCGTGGGACTAGGGCTTTCTCCTCTCGCTCTGGGACAGAAACTTTTAACTCCGGTGACTGGGAGTGGGCGACGTGATTTTGGGAAGTGAGAGTCTGTAGGGAAAATCCCGAGGGCCAAGTCTTGTGATCAGCCAGGGGGCCGCCAGTTCTCGGTCCTGGGGGCCCTCCCCCGCCCCTCTCAGGGCTGACTTATAGACTTCCGTCTACTCAGGGTTGGAGCTCAGATCTGCCAGAACTGTTACGCCGTGAGGAGCCCACCTCCAGCACCCAGGCCCCTGTTCTCTTGTTTCAGAACTCCTCACCTCATGACGACCCTCCTGCTCCTGGCAGGGCTCCTGCGGGCCGCCGCCGCCGCCACCATCTCCTGCTACGGAGACGCTGGACAGCCTGTGGACTGGTGAGTGATAGGCTCCCCCAAACTCTCCACTCTCCCCAATTTAGGCTTTATCTGGAGAGAACAGCCACCTGAGCTGGAGTCAGGAGAGCTGGAGCTGAATATTACCTTTGTGAAGTCGTTGGGCAAGACCCTTCTGGGCTATGGCCCTTAGTTTCCCCATATGTTAAATTCGGGGATTAAATAAATGACCACTAAGGTCCTTTTCAGCTTGAAATCTATGATCTTGCAAGGTAGCTCCACTTTCCCCACGATTCCAGTGGCACCCCCCCAACACACACAAACTCCATCTAGCCCTGACCACAGTCAATATTTTTCTGTCTTTTCTACTGCTTCTGTCTTCCTGCCTTCCCACCCTCTTTCTGGCCTGTCCCTCATAGATAGAAGGGTTAGGGTGGGGTGCTTGAGGGGTCTTTCTCATAGGGTATGGAGTCCTAGCTCCATATTTGTGTTCTGGAATGAGATCTGGATTTGGAGTCAGAACTTGGGTTTGAATCCTGTATCTATTACCCAGAACAAGTTTCTTCCCCTCACATTTCCCTAAATGTAAAATAAGATATTTAGACTAGAAGGTGATCTCTAAAGACCCTTTCAGACTTAAATTCTACAATGCTTTACCACCCTGAACACAGAGCACTCTCACTTCTTCCCTGGCTGCCCTGCTCCCTTCCTTCCTCCCTCCCTCTCTTCTCCCCAGGTTCGTGACCTACAAGCAACCAGTCCTGCCTGATTCCTTGAAAGGACTCAACTACATGTACCTAGATGGGAACAGTGGGGGCTGGCAAGAGGGGGCCGCCTCCATTGACAGCACCCAGGGGGCTGTGGGACGGACCATGAATCAGCTGTACCAAGGCAACTTGAGTGAGGTGAGGGCCTGGGCCAGGCATTTGAAGGAAGTGAGCCTAGGAACGTGGGGGAAACTAGCACAGGACACTGCTCATGTTTTGCCGTATACTTCCCTTTAGCTGGCTTACCTACTGTACAATGACCAGCCACCCTCAGGTAGTGGAGGCCCTGACACCAGGTACCGAGGACACACCAAGGGTGAGACTCAGCCTTCTGTGTCTAGTCTGGGATTAATGTGTGCCTCTATTTCCAGTCCTTAAATGACCCATTCTCCCCATGCTTCTGGGCACAAGCTGACCTTCCCATTCTCCCTGTGACCTGGGTGACCCATACCTCTCCCCAACTGTGTCCAAGCTGGGCTCACCTGTCCTTCTTGCAAGTGTCTGGGCTGGGCTGACAACTCTCGGTCAATCAGTTTTCCTCATCCCTCCCATCAGCTTCTGGGACCTCAGCAACTCTGGCCTCTCCATGTCTCCTAGCTCCTTTGTCTGAGCTTTCCCCTCTCCATTTTAGGTGTGCTTCTTCTGAACAGAGATAGTGGCATCTGGCTGGTCCACAGTGTCCCTCACTTCCCACCACCTGCTAACTCATCCTATAGCTGGCCCCAAACTGCCCAGACCTATGGACAGACCCTACTCTGTGTCACTTTCACCTATAGCCAGTTCCAAGACATTGGTGAGCCTGCAGGGGACACCCTCGGGGAGGATATCCCTATGGATTTGAAAGAGGCTGATCTCTGGGAGTGTGGAGGCAGTTGAACAGTTTTTCCCTTTTCTACCCTCTGGGTGTCCTCCTTCAGGCAAACAGCTGACCTACACCTATCCCCAGGTATATGACTACAGGCTAGAAGGAACCTTTGCCCAGGAACTGCTAGAACTAAAACATGCTGCTGAAGGTCACCATGTGGGCCAGCGCCCCTGGAATCGAAGTGTCGCCCTCACCTCAAGAGCCGGGGTTGTCTTCCACAGCTTTGCCAAGTTTAATGACTTCCAAGATGGTGAGGCCCAGGTGGGGCAGAGAAGGTAGTCATCCTCACCCTCACCCCCCTGGTCCACAAGGGTCCTTCAGACCTTTGATGGATACAGAAAAGGGAAATTTTAGAGAGATTTTCAGTGTTTGAGTCAGTTTGGGGTGGGGCCATGACTAGGACCTCAAGTCTCTTGACCTGACTAGGTGTTGTCCCCCACAGACCTATATTCTGGCTGGCTGACTGCAGCTCTGGGCAGTGACCTGTTTGTCCAGTTCTGGCCCAGAACAAGTAAAATGCTGTCCTCCAACTGTTCTGGCCCCTTCCGTGTGTTAAATGTGCTGGAGCTGGCCTTCCCTGACTCAACCATGCCTCCCTTCAGTGCCACCCATGACCATGCCAAGTGGTGTGTGGCACTCAACAGCACCTGGACCTGCATAGGGGACCTGAACCGCAACTATGCAGAGGAGCATCGTGGCGGGGGTACTCTCTGCTCCCAAATGCCTGCCCTGTGGAAAGCCTTCCAGCCACTGGTGAGAAAATTTGAGCCCTGTCCATCTCTAAGGTCTGAGGTCAAGGGTCATTGAGGGCAGAGGACAGGGAGAACTCTGGCCCAACTCCTCACAGGGTAGTCTACCTACTCATACTCCCAGGGGAGACTAGAGTAACTGGGAGTCTCCTTGAAATGTGTGATCTGTCCTCTGCGCCATAAGAGCATGTCTCACACTCTTCATCTTGTGCCACACTTTTCCTGTGCCTGAATTGCCCTCCCTGTCCAACTCTTCCCTTAGTGAATTCTTATCCTTTGTTTTGGAGGCAATCAGGGTTAAGTGACTTGCCCAAGGTCACACAGATAGTAAGTGTCTGAGGATGGATTTGAAGTCCTTCTGACTTCAGGGCCAGTACTCTAGCCACTGCACCACCTAGCTGGCCTGCTGCCCTTTCTTCAAAACCCAACTCAAAAGCTGCTTCCTTTAGGAAGTCTTCCTAGATTGCCTCCTCCTCACTAACAAAGGCCTTCCCTCTTTGATCTCACCATTGTTCTCACCTCTATAATGCACTTTCTACCATATTGTAGTTGCCTCCTTATGACATGGGGATGACCCTGGACTCTTAAAAGATATGAGCTCAAGCTTGAATGGGTTGTGCTGAGCTAGAAGGACTCAGAGTGACACTCCCTCCCCCACCCCCAAACCATTCAGTAAACTCCAGGAGCTCCCTATCACCTCCAGCATCAAATACAAAATTCTCCACTGAGCCCTTCATAACCTGGCCCTGTCCAACCTTTCCAGCCTCCTTACCCCTTACTCCCTTCTGTGTGTGCAGATGTCCACTGACTCTGGCCTCCTTACCATTCCTCCAACAAGGCCCTCCATCTCCTGACTCCAAGTGTTTTCACTGGCTACCACCCAAGACCAGTATTCTCTCCCTCTTCATCTCTGCCTCCTGGCTTTCCTGGCTTCTATAAAGTCCCAGTTAAAATTCTACCTTCTACAGGAAGCCTTTCCTGATCGCCCTTAATTCTAGTGCCTTTCCTCTGTTGATCAATCTCATCTTAGCCTGTTTGAACAGCTTATCTCCCTATTAGACTGTGAGCTTCTTGAGGGCAGGCACTGGGTTTTTTTGAGGCTTTTTTTTTTACCTTTTCCTATATCCCCAGTATTTAGCACAGTACCTGGGAGATAATAGGTGCTTAATAAATGCTTCCTGAACTACTGAGTAGGGGTCCAGTGATGGACAACTCTTGCTTTCCAAGGACCTATTTTCATGTTAATCTGGTGGTGGTTCAGGCTTGGGGTTGGAACAAAATGATATATTTAAATAAATTGAGACAAAAAATAAAATGAGACATGTAAACAAAATGTTTAGATATTTTGTGAATGAGTCAATAGGATGTGATGGGGAAGACACTGGCCAATAAAATCTTTACACCCTACATGGTATCCAGTGCCAGTTGGCAATCTTATATGGAGGCTTGGTGATCCTACTTCTTGAGCTGTGTGATGGAGGGGCCCTTTCCCTTCCTAATTCAGAGGATACACAGGTCTCCTATGGCAATTTCTCATTGACTTTATTGAATAGTGATAGAAAACCTTTTAACTGGCTGTGAAGCCAGAATTGTATGTGTATGTAAAAAACTCAAAAGACCAAAAAGAACTCTCATTTTCTGCTCTAAATCACTGTTGATTAGAGAAATGCAAATTAAAACTACTCTGAGGTACCACATCACACCTATCAGATTGGCCAACATGACAAAACAGGAAAATGATAAATGTTGGAGAAGATGTGGGAAAATTGGAACACTAATGCATTGTTGGTGGAGTTGTGAACTGATCCAACCATTCTGGAGAGCAGTTTGGAACTATGGCCAAAGGACTATAAAACTGTGCATTCCCTTTGATCCAGCAACAGCAATACTAGGTCTGTATCCCAAAGAGATCATAAAAAAGGGAAAAGGACCCACATGCACAAAAATGTTTATAGCAAAGAATTGGTGGCGAAGAATTGGAAATTGTGGGAATGCCCCAAAGTTGGGGAATAGCTGAACAAGTTGTAGTGTATGAATGTAATGGAATATTATTGTTCTATAAGAAATGATGAGCAGGTGGATTTCAGAAAAACTTGGAAAGACTTACATGAACTGACACTGAGTGAAGTGAGCAGAACCAGGGAGACATTGCACACAATAACAACATTGTGTGATGAACAACTTTGATAGACTTAGCTCTTCTCAGCAATACAATGATCTAAGACAACTCCAAAAGACTCATGATGGAAAATGCTATCCACATCCAGAGAAGGAACTCTGGAGTCTGAATGTAGATCAAAGTATTGTTTTGTTTTATTATTTCTTCTTTTGTTCTGATTCTTCTTTTACAACATGACTAATATGGAAATATGAGGAAAAAAAGAACTAATTTTCATGATAGTTTTCTATCTAATGAGAAGGAAGGAAAAATACTTTAAGCCTTCAAGTTTGGGAGGGAGAGGGACAGATGTAGTAGCAATGGCTTCAGCAACCTATCTTGCTATCTCTACCCAGCCACCATGTGACCACAAACACATGATGCTGTTTCTATTCTGTTTTGTATATTCTTTCTTGGTCCTAGCTGAATGATTATTGGAGATGTAATAGACCAGGCTTCTGTGAGCTTTTTTGTTTTATTTTTTGTTTTGTTTTTTTTTGGTGAGGCAATTGGGGTTAAGTGACTTGCCCAGAGTCACACAGCTAGGAAGTATGTGTCTGGGGCTGGATTTGAACTCAGGTCCTCCTGACTTCAGGGCTGGTGCTCTATCCACCGCACCACCTAGCCTCCCCTTCCTGTGAGCTTTTTAAGGTTGAGAGAGCATTCAGAAGTCCAGCACCTCGAGTCCATAGCAGAATCTTTTGGTAGCTACACAGCTGAGCCTGGTGAGGAGCCAACCATAAAGAACAGGCGATGAGTGAATTGACTGTCACATCACTTCTGCAAGCAATGGAGCAATTTATCCATTGGTTATGTCACACCCAGAAGTGAACTTGGCCTGGTGAACATTGGTAACCATCACCTCAAGTCTGAGTCTACTTTCCTCAAGTGGTTTTTGTACCCAAGCCATCCAAGCCCTCTGAGTTACTCTTGGAGCCCTGAGGGAAGATGGGGAAGTGGGGACCTGACCCAAAGTACTAATGGTGGTTAGGAGACTGAGACCTAACCTTGATCACGTCACTCCCTAGCTCAAGAAGTTCCAGTGGCTGGATAATGCCTCTATGGGAACAGTCTCTGCTTGACATTTTAAGTCCTTCAGAATCTGGCTCAAAGAGACCTTTTTAGGGTGACTTCATGTTATTCTCCTTTATCACACTACGTTCCAGCCAAACTGGTGTTCCTGCTGTCCCCGAGGCATGTCATCCCCCCTCCCAATCTCCCAACTATATGCCCTGTGCTTGGAAAGCTTCCCTCTTCTCCACCAAACTTCCTTTAGGACTCTGCTTCAGTGCCACCTACTGTACTAGATCCTACTCCTTTGTTAGTTTTCTCTTCTCCCCCAAATTGCTTTGTATGTATCATGTATGTATCTGTTCTTGTTCAGTCACTTCAGCCACTTCAGTCACTAATCTGTGATCCCTTTTGGGGTTTTCCTGGCAAAGATACTGCCATTTCCTTCTCTAGCTCATTTTACAGATGAAGAAACTGAGGCAAACAGAGCAGACTGATTTGCCCAGGGTCACATATCTAGTAAGTGTCTGAGGCCAGATTTGAAGTCAGGAAGATGAGTCTTCCTGACCCCAGGCCTGGCACTCTATCCACTGCACCACCTACCTGCCCCCCAAAGATGTTGTTTCCCCCTAGTAGAAAATAGAATTGTTTCATGATTTTCTTGCATGACTCTCATTTCTCTTCCCAATTTTTTCTCTACTTCTCTTACTTGATATTCAAAATCCTTTTTGAGCACTTCCATGGCCTGAGATCAATTCATATTTTTCTTGGAGGCTTTGGATATAGGAGCTTTGCCTTTATTGTCTTCTTCTGAGCATGTGTTTTGATCTTCCTTGTCACCATAGTAACTTTCTATAGTCAGAGGTTTTTTTTCCCCATTGTTTGCTCATTTTCCTAGCCTATTACTTGATTTTTTAAGTCTTTGTTAAAGTAGGGCTTTGCTTCCAGGGTGGAGGGCAAATTGTACCAAACTTCATGGGTTTTGTGCTGCTATTTTCAGAGAAACTTCTAGGGACCTGTCAGTTTTCAGATCTTCCAAGGTGGTATGATTTAAGGAGAGGTGTTTACTACTCTCCTGGCCTCTGGTCTGGTCTGTGAGTGACCACATACAATCTTGTCTGTCCTGGAATTGTGAAGAGGGTTCCTTCCCCACTATGGCCAGAAGCTGGGGTGTGCTAGTGCTCCTCCTCAAACTGGGACTGCTACCCTAGACTGCCATTTAAGACTGCAACCAGATCTGAGGATGGGCAAAGCAACAGAGTCCTGCCTCAGTGCTAGCAAAAAGAATCTCCTTCTGACCACTTGTTTGACTCCCTTCTCTGTGGGCTGAGAGCTCTGGAAGCAGCTGCCATTGCTGATTCATGGCTTCCAAGGCCCTGGTTTGCTGGGGCCCAGGCTATGCTAGCACAGCCTTCGATGGACTGTGTTCCTTTCTCATCGTGGTGCAACAGACCTGTCTTACCGACCGTCCAGGTTGTCTTGGCCTGGAAATTTGTTTCGCTCTGTCTTTTTGTGGGTTCTGCTGCTCTAGAATTTGTTTAGAGTCATTTTTAAAGGTATTTGGAGGGGTTTGGGGGAGAGCTTAGGTGAGTCCCTGCTTTTACTCCACCATCTTGGCTCTAGAATTGTTTCATTTTTGACTTTGTATCCCCAGCGCCAAGCAAGATGCCTGGCTCCCAGTAGACACTTGATAAATGCTTATTGAATTGAAACTGTTGACACCAAAAAATTGAAAATCAATAGAGAAAGAAATCGACTCATTATCAATACTGACTGGATCATCACCATTAATTGCAGAAGTTAACCTGTACACCTTAGTTACCACAAGAGATCCAAAGAACCCAGAAACTACCTAGTTCACAAACCCAGAGACCAACCCAGGTCTAGAGCACAAATTCATTTGTAAAACATGGAGGAGGATGTGGAAAATTCTAAGCAGCACTGCCTCATAAAATAGTGAATTATGGAGGAGGAGGAATAAATGAAAACATTATGCCCCTTCCAGATTCAGCTGGATACCTAAAGACTAGGAAAAAACCCCCCAGCAACATCAATGGGATTATTTTTCTTAAAATGGTGATTGGGAGGAATACCAGTGACGACTGAGCGATATGTCTCATTATAAAATCTTTCTAAGAATGACCTGAATGTAATAGGATACTGAAGATAATGCCACACTCCTTGTAGGCAGACATCCCCAAAGTCCCCCCACTCAGTTTCCCGGGAATTTGCTCTAACCAAAAAGCTGGCAGAAGGGGACTGAGGTGACTAATAGACTTGCCCTCCCAGACAGTGAAAGGAGTTGCTACAAGAGAAGCCCTATGTAGAGGGCCACTCTTCAGTACTAGATACCAGTTCCCAGGTCTTTTATACTTGGACATCAACTTCTTCCATTTCAGTCCAGCTCAGACAACAGCTCTGCCCCAGAATGTCACTGCACGTTATCATGGCAACACAGAAGGTGGTCCTGGAATGCTTGTAAAGTCCCGTCATGCTTCCCAACATTTCCCCCAACTCTGGGGCATGGGAAATGGACATATGGAGGGAGAATCTTCAAATCTATGAATGAGAAGGGACTTCAAAGAGTATGGAGTATAACCCCAACTTGAGCAATTCCTGTACAACTAACCGAGTTGACTTAACAGAAAGAGTACAGTTATTCCTTTCACATTGCAACTTTTCCCATCATGGTTTAGATATTTCATGGGTTGGTGTAAGAAATCAAATGGGAATTTGGGGGAGTTTTGTGGAAGCTTCAGATGATATTCGAAGGCCAGCAGATGACTCAGAGCCTATGACCAAATACTTAAACTAAATTTTACAATAAAGTACCATTAACACCCTATTAAAAAAAGAAAGAATTCAGACTTGTTCTCTGGTACAAAAGGAGGGCCAAAAAATTTTGTGCAGATTTTCCACATCTCAGAGGTGCCACACCCCTAATCTCCAAGATGTGGAAGGGATAACTGTAGTAGTTTTATCCATGTTTCAATTTCACCTTGGAAGGTCTCCAGTGGAGTGCCCCAGGGATCAATGTTTGGACTCGAGCTATTAAATGATTTCTCTCAATGATTTGGATAAAGTCATACATAAGATGTCATACTTATCAAATTGGTGGATGACATGAAGCAGGTGGAATAGCTAACACCCAAGAGGACAGAATA